GCAGAATAAAAGTCATTAAGGAATCTTCTTTGCAAAGTTCTTGTTTGTTTAAAGTAATTACATTCCCCAAAACAATGTGGAGATCACCAACAGCATGTTTTCTCTATAAATGCAAATTCTGTGAATGCACTGTGCTCTCAATGTTTTTTTTTTCAATTTCTGTTCCTTTCTTCAAATGAGAGTTTAAGATTTCCGACTCTGGTGCTTTCCTGATTATCGTTAAACATCCCAGTGGAACTCATGGCTTGTGTGACATAAAAATCCCTTTCCCACATGTACATTAAGCAATACCATAAGTACTGTGGTAGTTTTCTGTGTTGTCATCATGCGTGTGATCTGTTGATCTGATGTGAAATGTTGTCCGAACAACCTGCCACCCATGGTGAATAGAAAGAAAGTCTGATTGATCTGGATGGATCACATTACATGGGAACAGTCTGTACATACTCACTGTATTATGAGGTAAACTCTTGTGAGCAAATCAACTCTTATAGATGAAAAAGGTTTCAGGAAACTTAGGATGACTTAAAAAGTAAGATTTATTGAAGCTCGGCCGAGGAGAAAAATGGCATCAGAAGTATAGTCAGAGCACAGTGTAGTCAAATCTTTCGGATACATCCTGATGGGGAGTACTTCCTCGACATACAGAGATTCCCTGTGTTCAAACAAGCTAATTCTTCCCTTATCTATACATGAAGATTCTATTGGATATTGGTTCAAAACAAGACACTATGCTTACCTACGTTTACCTAAGTCATGTTGTGTGTCATTCAAGTCACATGCAACACTTTCTAAAGAGTGCAAGAGAGCAAGTCAGTCTGTCTGTCTGAAACTAAATAAAGATAATCTTGACCTTGGGTTACCTAGGAGATGGACCCCAGAGTTCATCCAGCATGGCTCAGCAAATGATCCTAACGTGACCTGGGGTGACCATGTGCGATATTACACTTAAAGAAGGAAATTTCCTTCTCCTGTATCAGTGTGTAAAACCTGAAAAGCACCTGGCAGTGTTGTGAGTTCCTCAGCTTGGTCACTGATTCCTTTTTGTACTAAAATGATGTGGATCACAAGTCCTGTGGCCGATATATTAGTCTTAGTAGACCAACATATAAAAAATTTATCAAGATTTTAAATAGCATGACATAGCATGCACATTGTCCATCATATACCCTTTTTTTCAGTTGCACGGGTTTTGCACTTTTGGTTGATAGTGACTTTGGTGTTTGGTGAATATGTGCGCATAAATACCTGCACTTTGGCCTTCTTGGACTCAGTCACAGTGAATGAGAGCGAGTCAGCGGTACAGTGAGACTTGGGAAGAAGGTAAGGGTAGAACTCGTCCTTGTACTTGTTTTTGAAGATCTAGAGAAGACAGAATAAATGAACAGTCCATATTTTTTACCTTCATGTTTCCTACAGAAGCCTTGCAGAAAAGTTCTATTAAGTTTATTTTACTACTTACTACTTATATCATATTGTTGTTGTTCACCGTAGCATAATATAACATAGCAGAGACTGTGGACAACAGCCTACAATTCCAATACAGCCGCAACAGGGCAACACAAGTCTCAGATAGATTGTTTTAGCTCTATGTGATAACTTTAAATATAACTTTTTTTAACCTTGCTTACACCTCCAATTAACTGCTTTGGATAGTAACAATATAACATGTGCTAAAGCTATCTGAAGCTTGTATATCTGTATATTTATTTGTAAAGCTGAATCCAGTAATCCACTCTCCACAATGATAAGGATGTTTATAATATTATATAGCACAAGGCTGCATAACGAAAGGAAATTTGTAGTTCCTTCATGCTACGCACAACATATAATTAAGTGTATATATATATATATAGTTGTATATATGTATGGGGTCTTTATGGCAAATCTATGACAATAAAACAATAAAACCCAGGTAGCATGAAAAAGACGTTTGTTTGAAACGTTCTGTGGAGACTGACCTTGGTGAAGTTCCAGCGCTGGATGAAGTGGCGGGCTACATCCCTGGCAGCCCTCCCATGAACAGCTGCAGACAGATCACGCCACGGCATGCGAGGAACTTGAGTACGGTCGATGTTATCTGAAAAATATATAAAAAGCAATCCTTTCAACTGCCAGTTCAGAGCCTCGCGGTGTGTTTCAATGTGTGTATGCATGTGCGATACTGAAGGACATTTAGATAACATACCTTCAAACGGTTTGTCCAGTTGGACCCAGTCTTTCTGGATAAAGTTGTTGTAGTCTTTGCCAAGCCACAGTTTAGTGTTGTGAGTCAGATCATTAGGGCCCTGCTCTGCTTGCTTACTTGGTTCAGATGGTTTTAGACCATCAGCCACACCATTATCCTGGTTAACAGAGACATCCGTTGACATATTGAAAGCACACTTGTTCATGAACTACTGTAATTATATTCATGTTTTAGTCAGCAGCAATACACAAGCTAAAAAGACAGTTTCAACTCCTTACCCCTGTATCTCCTTTGGGCTCCTCCGTGGTCGCACCGTTGGCCATCTCTGTCAAACCCAGGTCAGTTAACCGGTACTGGCTGTCATCCCACCTCCCAAAAGCGAGGTCAAGCCCCCCCACAAAGGCTACTGTTTGGTCAATGGCTACCATCTTTTCATGGTGAGCCCACAGGAACACCACAGACGACACGTGGTCAGGATGTCGCATCACCTGATGGATGCAAAGGGTTAAACTTGACGCGAAAACATGAGACGAGACCTCTACTAATTGTGTAGCCGTAGTCTATCAGATAATGTGGAGGTGTGACAGACCTTGATGTTTGGGTGCATATTCATAAGAGTCCTCTTGCTGTGCTCACTATTGATGCCGAGTGCTAGCTCCACCTCTTTGTACAGCAGAACACACACTTTGACTCCCTGTTTCTGCAGGAAAAGGTAAAGGCATTTTAATAAATTATCAGCGCAGGTAATGTGCAATTTGAAAATCATTTAAATAGTATAAAAGAGAAGAGCAAGACAGAGAGAATGCCTACTGCTTTGCGTTTGAGTATCTCATCCAGGCGCCAGTAGTTATCAGTTGCTGGTCTCTTTAGGAACACTTCAGGACTGAGCCTGAGAGGAAAGACACATAAAGAGCTCCATCTATTTATATATTCACATTAAAAATACACTTAATTGCAGGGTTCTGCACTCCATGTTCAGGTGGATGGATATGGTATTTGTTGTAGTGCATGATCACTGCATTTTGTGCTTGTCAACATTTCCAAGTAAAAAAAAAGAAATACACTTATATGTTACAAATGTAGCTAAAATATTTCATTGGTACAACCTTTTGTTTGGTATGACAAAGCCTCTTCATCACAAAGTCCAGATCTTGCTGACACTTACCACCAATCTGTGATGAAGATTTCCTCCTTGGCTTGTTCGAGAGCATCAGCCAGGTCTGCAAAGTAACCCCTTCCATTCACGTACCTTCAAACAATTCAATATGAATATGTATGAAATATGAATGAAAGTTTAGCAAATGAGGAACAAATCTAAAGACAGATATTTGTACATTTCAGGACTAGACTAGACACGTAGACTACATATCTACCATTTTGTGAGTGTGTTCTCCCGTGGTGGTGCAAACCCCATGAAGCGTTGCACTTTGAGAAAGTCACAGGAATCTGCCAGCTGGTTGATTTCATGACTCCACCATTGGGTTTGTCTATAGCTGCTGCATTTGATGATCAGACTCCTGAACAAAAATGCATACAAAAAATGCATATATTTATCAAAAACACAACATAACCCCAGGCATATATAAACACAATTCACTGGAGCTTTCAGCTGACCTACCGGGTGAAGTTCTCAATGCAGACTCCATATTTATTGTCTGTGTAAGCAGTACCCACTTTCACTTTGAACTCTGGGTCAAACAGCAACACAAAGTTGATGATGCCATTGTCTCGGTTCATATACATCAGGAAGGAGTCTTTTACCACCAGCCAGCGCCGTGACCAGCGGAAACAGAACTGATGATGGCCAATGCAGTTCAGGCCTTGGATCCGGTGGCCCCCCGACCTTTTGAAGATGGGTCCCTCCCTAAGACAAGTTGGCACACGTTGCACAATAAATCTCTATCACACACTTTGTCATTTACCCCACTTCTTCTTGTGTCTCACACATTCTAAAGAAGTTTGCTTACAAGCCTTTGGGTCCAAGATCAGTGACGAAGGAGAGAGCTCCAACGGAGAGGAATTCCAGCTGAAAAAGGTAGATCAGAAAATGCCATCATGCCACATGGCATCCACTTTGCATGTGTCTGTGTATCTTTGTTTTAAAGGTATTACCATGCTCTGATCATTCCTACAGAATACGTTCTCCAGCAGACCATTCAGGTAGTCCTCAAGGTATTTCTGATAATAGAAAAGCGGAAAGTTATATAGAGAGAGTGAAAAATTCATGTGCAAGTTAGTTGATTGCCTGAAATTGATTTTTATGAAATTGCCATTGTGGGCCATACAGTAACTGTTTTTCATTGTGTAGACTGATTCGTTAAAAATATTACATATATTATATATATAAATTTTGTAATTATTATCATTTTCAATAATAACATAAAATACATAAAATAATATAAAATATATAAATTAATTCATTGATCATCCTGAGTAAGAACTCCAATACAGTAAAAACACAACCCCTTATTAAAAGTGTTTATTTTCTTTATATGTAGTTAATAAACAACACCAATCTTCTTCTATGAATAAAATACATTTTAAAATATTGCAACAACCGTGTGTGTATTCGAAGGGGTTATTCATAATAGGTACTGTATATATGTATATACTATGTCTCTGATTGATTTGTTTGATACCATTTTGCTGGAGGTCCTTCTGGTTCGTTCATTCCCATGTAGGCTAGGCATTTCCTCTGTCATGGCTCTCAGCTGCTGCCTCTCCTTTGCAAACCTTTAAGAAACATTTGAATATTCAAAATACTTCATTCTGACAACAAAAAATTACCAAAAAAAGTAAGCAACCCACCGCCCCGATTTCTACTGCACATCTCTCAGAGTGAGATGTTGACTTGGATGATTAAGGAAAAACTGATCGGTAAACAGACCTTCCCAGAGGCAGCAAGTGACACACCATCTTGTGCTTGTAAAGGTCTCTGTGCAGCTCCTGGAAGTGCTTGTACTTCCTCTTCACTGTCCAGTGGAAGTGGCCATGCGTTAGCCGCACTGTGTACAGAGTGCCTACATGGACCTGGAGGGATAGTATTGAAATTGTGTCATAAGCATGATGATTTAAAATGAGAAAAATCCAATACTGAAGAAAACCAAATGACAGAATAAAATTCACTGAATTTTAAATTACTTATTTAGTTCAAGCTAAAGTGCGGGACTTTAACACATAAATGAACGTCCGTTACATTCAAGCCCTTGCCAGATGAGTTTGCAGGATGCTGATTAAGCCTCTCACTGCAACTTAAAGCTAGTGTCTGTGCCAGAGCTGAGGGGGACGAGCAACCATAGCGACAGCAGCAACTCAGTATGGCAGAGCCTATCTGTTAAAAGCAAGCATCAGCAGAGTGTAATAACTCTCACTGTCAGGTTGTGGGAGACAAAAGTTCACCACTGCAGGGTTAAGTTTTAACTTCACAGATGTTATTGCACTACAGATGTTGACTATTTTTAAGCAACCTGTGTCTGTTATTTTTACAGTTTTGCTTTCCTTCATAAAAGTTGTGGTCACATTTTCCTCACAAATTTTGCTGCCGAGATCTGTGTAACAGCACTAGCAACACCTTTACCTCAACGCCCAAAAGGGCATGAAACACAAGAGATTAGACAGTAGCCAGAGCCACTTATTTAGTTACAAATGAATGTTAACATATCCAAAGTGTCCATCATAGTTGTCCACTGCACTGTAAAACAGCAAGTGCAGTAGATTATGATCGAACCACAATGTAGGTCTTCCAGATCTGATGTACATGACATGCACATTTCACATATGTAATTTAGAAAATATAGCCTAGTTAAGATGTGGACCTGTTTAAACCCCAACACACTGGAGACAATTTTGAGTTTCAAATTCCCTTGACCTTGATAAAAAATGCAACATCTGGTGCTTCTCTGGTGTCAACCTGAATAATACACTATTACACATGATCTTGTTCTTTTTTAGTGAAAATACCAAAGTAGAAATACAAGTCCAAAGAGAAAAGATTGACTCCAATATCTTGTTAGATGAGGCCCCAACCTTCAGAGGCTGCAGCAGAAATAAAACGGCATCCCAGAAACCCACTTCCTCAAAAACTCTCCACACTACACTCTCCTCTTCTACACGAACATCGCATCTACAAATAAAATTACACTCAACGAATAACAAATCACAATGTCATTGCCAGCCTACCTCTCTATCTAAACAGTAGCTGAGGTACCCAGACCAAGACAACCACACAATAAAGGAAAGCTGAATAAAGTTTTGACAAAGGCTTGACAAATCAGATATTAAAAAGTGATCATGGATTGTTCATAAGCTGTTCTATAAGATGTTAACTAGCAGAAACTGTTTTGACATGGTTATTAAGAGTAACTAATTAAAGTTAAATGTGTCATCTGAAGTTTTCTATAAATACTAGTATCCTTTTAACAACCACCAAAAGAAAAAACAATTAGTCTTCGTTTATAATTTAAAAAATTTACAGACGTACCTTTGAGCGAGTAGTGTATTTTTCTGTGTTGTCCACTCTGCATGTAATGGGGGTACCAGGCATTAAGTGAGGTATACGCTCCTCTTTTATTTCAGGAAGACGATGCACCACAAGGAAAGGACGACCCTCTGTGATTTAGAACAATATAACATTTTTATGAAATGCTTCCAATCATACCTTAAGTTTAATGTACTTATAAGAACAGACTAATTTTCTTACCACTGCTGGACATGAGGCCGTCTATCTCGTCTGGACTCAGATTGTTGTAGTCATGTGAAAAGCGCCTTCTGGTCAGGTTATGGGTTGTCGAGCTTTGAGCCACTGGCTCGATCACATCCTCTGAACTGTCCATCGCACTGTTGTTGCAAGTGCCAGCTGCCCTGGAGTAAAGAAAAGGAGTTTTACTTTGACAGTCCAGAGTTGTGCACATTCTCATCACCAAGCATGCATACATAACCAGTGACCAAACAAATGTTGAACTGAGACAAATTTTTTCACACAGACACACATGAGATTTTAAAGTCACTGCAAATGGTGGCAGTAGTTTGTAGCAGTAATGTATGAACTATCATAACACCAATAGATGTAGCAGTAAAAGCAGGGGTAGCAGTAGCATTTGTAAAATCAGCAGTAGTTGTATTACCTGTGGTATTAATAGTAGCAGCTGCAGTATCAGTTGCATTAGCTGTACTGAGTAGCAGTAGTTGTCAAAGCAGCGGGAGTTATGATTCCACCACAAGTTGTAGCGTTTGCAGTCAATGTAGCTAACCAAGAGTCACAAGTAATAAAAACACAGCTAAATCTGGAGTTAAAATATAGTGAAATAATCTGACAGGAGGTTCTTGAAGTGAATCTTATCCATGAGGAGAGCGAGATATGATCATTTGATGTGAGCCATTCAAGAACAACTCAGTATCACACCAGTCTACAGCAAACTCTGTAATGTTCGAAGTCCCAGTGTTAAAATGCTGAAAACAGAGAGCATTCATATACTGCAGGCGTCTCGTAGTGTTTACCTCTTGATCAGTTTAGGACACAGCGACGAGTGAGAGAAAAGGGTGTGTGTGTGTGTGTGATCCCTTTTGTAAAGTGTGTGGGTAGATTTCTTTGAATGGCTGACTGTTTCCTGGGCAACAAGGCAAAGGGGAGGGAGAATGTGTGAGTGCGTGTGAGAGTCACAAATGTCACCAAACCCAGCACTTCACAGTGACTAAAACTTACTGGAATCATTTGTACATTTGCTAATGTTAAAATTGCTTCATTGTGCACTGAAGTGTAAAAAGCAGATGATGTCAGAAACAGTCATTCTGGGATCGTTCATCTGGCTAAATTTTTGCATTTTTTATTTAAAAAAATGCACATAGAGTTGCTGGTTGAGTTTGAAAACATCAACAGTGAGAAAACTTCTGGATTTTGAGACGATACTAGCTACTTTGGAAATCAGCCCCCAGTGTAGTGCATATTACTGGTTGTACAAAAGATTTGCTTTTTAAATGAACACAGTCAAAAGGGAGGAGATGTAACAGACAGGAGTAGAGGATTTAAGCTGAGATATTAACTAACAACTCAGTAACACAAGGATCTCCCTTATTTTTTGTAAATTCAGATAATATCGGTCAATAGAATTATTGATTAGTGAATACACCGCTAATGTTCGAGTTTTGAAGTTATTACCTGTACATCCATGGGTTTGTTATGATTCACTGCTTTATAAAATAAATACTGTTACATGATAAGAATCTCTTTAGAGGTTTTGTTATTTCAGTTACTGTGATCTCAATATCTCCTTCATAACATTTCCTATTTTAATTGTTTTGTTGTATTTCTGCTTTTACTACAGCATTATAAAGAATTCACAAGTGCTGAACAACACTCATCTGGTGAAGAACTTGAATTCCCATCCCCAATCCCACAAAGACTGATCTTCACCAGATGTTACTGTGATTCTGTGATACTGTGAAGAAACAAGTCATGTTTAGGATAATTTCTACTTTGTCATTTCATGTTTTTTTTCTATTGTCTCCAATTATAATCCTAAATCTTTTTTAGGCCTTTCAGCCATGTAACGTGACATTAAACCCTGTCATTTAAGTTCGCTTCCTGCTGTTTGCTGAGTCAGACATGTTGCTAGAAAAGTATTTTGCTAAATAAGGTCTTTTGTCTGTTGAATGCTATGAAGAAGCAGCTCGTATGTGCTGTTAAGCATAGATAATATGCAGTATGCTGGCATACATGAGAAAAATATTAAAAAAAAGAAATATAATATATAAAAAATGCCTACTTACTAATCATGAACCTCTTCAATAGTAAGAATACTTTTTTTGGTGTTTAAAGAGGTTTCAATGAAAATAAACCAAACAAGCCTGCAATCGGCAGGTTATCGTTAGGCAAGCAAAAACCCTTGCACGAATACCACTAAGATCTCCTCTTATGCAGGTAGTTGAAGGCTAAATTTTTATAGTCCATCAAACTACGCTCCAAAATGCTAGAAATCACCCTCAATCAAGACAGCAAAGAAGTCTCAAAAAGCCCTCAACAGACTAGAGTTCAGAGCTGACAATATTTGCTAAAATGATGTCTGCAGTAGGTCAAGGAAGGATCAGAATAACACCTGGATGTGCAATTCACTGCCTCTTTTAAGCCCCAAAGAAAGGGCACACCTTGATTGGCTAAGAGGTGAAAGAACCAAGCTGCTGTCAACTCCTATTTAAGAGCCAGTGCCCACACCCTGTGCAAGCGATCTGAATAACCCCCCAATCAACTCAGAGGAATTTTGACATTCAGCCAAAACAAATTGGAAAAGGGAAATGACAGCAAGCACCAGAGAATGGGCGACTGCTACACAGAAGTCCTGGGTTGACTTGACAAGATTTTTTTTGTTTGTTGTGAGTGAAACTTATTTACTCAAGTTTCCTACCTGTGAAATACTACACTACATCCACACAGCTTCCTAACATGAGCCTAATTGGCCAGAAGAAACTATTATTACTGAAAGCCAAACCACATCTTACACACCAAATAGTCATATGAGCATAATCTTAGTGTGGATCAGTGCTGCTGGATCATTTACAACTTAATGCTGCGAGCAGCAGTAACTCACAGGGCCATGAGATGATTTAAAGTCCTTGTATGAAGGTTTTGGAGAGTTCTGACTTCGGTGACTCCCAGTGGTTTTATAAAAAACAAAAACACCTGGCTGACACAAGGGTAATGCGTCGGAGACATTTAGAAAGGTGGAGACAATGAGAATGATCAAGTAACACACACAATGCACCAATTTTCATAGAACTTTTTTCACAAACAATCAGGATAATAGTGGCTATGTCATATGAAAATACAACACATAGGGGCTTTAAAGAGCAACTTGACACCACCTGAAAATCTTGTTTAAAATTCCTGTGACTCCTACAGTGTAAGTCCTCATCTTACTGAGAAGTGTAGAGGTGTACCCAGGGTGTGTTCAGCACACCCTCACATCACTGCTGGATGTGGTTACATAGCAAATCTGACCACGCAGTAGACATGAGAGTTTAATCAGGGAAGGTCAGTAATATACAGCTATTTAGCTTGATAAAGTTAGTCTACTGTTTAAAGGAAGTCTTTGTTGGATATGGGGTTATGTTTTCATGGTAAAGTAAGGTATTGATTAAAAATGTGTAATTTTCAATAGGCCTAAATTAGCCTAACCAATACACACTTTATATTCACTGCTGTAAGGGAAAGTCCTGTTTTGCACGTTTTTGTGCATAATTTACCAAATCGTTTACAAATAATAGACTATATGCATGGGGCCTTTAAAGACATTTATATATGGCACTCAGACTCTGAAATGTGCAACCATATCATATGATCTGAATATGTCATAAATTCCTACATGACTAGAACAACAGTGACTAAAAAAAAACAGTGCTAAGTCTCTTCTTGCCTGCGGTGTTTCTCACTGATCCACCATTTCACCACGTTTAACCCATTACAGTAAAACTGAGAATAAAGTGACAGGCTTTGTAACGTGTTTGATGTTGGTTTTTGAGAAACACACGCACTTTTTGCCTCTTTCCTTAGAGTTGATAGGAGTTTGTATAGGGTTGTACAGTGTGCTATGGCTCCATCAAAAAAACAGCAGAATCTGTACAAGACACTAGAAGTTTCTTACACCGCGGATGTGTAACAGTGTAGCTGTAAAGACGTTTTAAGCCCCGAATATAGATATCAAGGACTGTAATGATAGAGGATGGGCATACTGAAGGCTAAGTTTTGTCGTCCCCACCCATCCCCTGGTTTCCCACAGCGCCGCATTACACAAAAAAACTAAAATTTAGGAACTAAGCCAACAAATGTTCCCTGACGAAAGTGACAACATGTACAAATCACAACGAAAAGAATCTGTGTTCCTGCCTCGGTGGGTTAATCTGCAGCTGGACAATCTTCAACCGGTAATGCTGCGACAGATCAGACAGAGGAGTAAAATATGAGTCCAATTTAAAGGCCTAAAAAGATAGCCTACTTACTGTCAGTTAAAATATCCCGGCTGGGCACACACAGCTATTCCACACGCGGGACAAGGAGGTAAAATATACATTCAGGCTAAAATGTTCCATCGTACTCCGGCAGCCAGTGTCTTAGGACCAAACTGTATTCCCCGTAGGTGATGGACACTTCAGTTTAGTCCCTCCCATTGGATGTCAACGGGACAGTAACGTTATGAAAAAGTAAAATAGATTATCTTTAAATGTCGCAGCTTTGTCACAAGAGGCAGGTCATGCCTAACACACCACTTGTTCTACTATTTAATGCTTAATATTTAATACACAAAACCACGAGGTAGTGGATGGAAAGAAACAGTGTGGGTGTTTTCCACGCAGAAACAGACAAACAGGCACGACGAGGTGTCTGCGCGTTGCCACCAGATAAAACATGGACTTTTATAGGACAAGACAAACCGACTGTGCGCCATCAGGACAAAAAGACACACGGGAATCTGGATAGGTGGTGGGGGGCGATAATTAAAAAGACGTGGCTCGTAACTGCAATCGGCCATTCAACGTGATTCGCAGAGCACACCACGAGGTCTCCGGTTAGTGTTTTCAAACTGAAAAAAACTTGTCAGCGAAAATCTGCCACGGACTTCTTCTAAACGACCAAAGTAGCCTCTGATGTGTGTTTTTGGAAGCAGCCCTGTATTTTGTAGGAGCTTATTTCCCTGACATCTAACGACAATTCTTGAATTAAAACTACACAACCTTTGAAAGCTTTTAACGTTATAGAAAAAGAGGACACACCGGAAGAACGTATCGCGCCGCATTCAGGTGCGTTTGACTTTCAAGCTACAAAGATACGATTTTATGGGAAGGCCTGGATAAAGCACATTTTATATGAAACGTTTAACGATTATAGTTTTTATTTATTCATCTTCCGCACACATAATGACTGCGTCTAAACCCCGACAGGCGGGGCAAACCGCCTGAGTCAAGGATGTGATGACAGATGCAAACTGACCTAAATCTGGGTAGTGCTTTGCGTGTTAGCAGCCTGACACTGGCAATACAAAACAGCCCCAACCACACCCTTATCAAGACGGTTGCTGGGGATTTAGGAACCTTTCACAGGATGGGTAAAGACTGAATATTCATAGACCAGACCTTCAGGGACCCAGTTTGTATCTGCGGATGATCTTGGGGACTGTCCGGTAGATGAGGTTTGATTCTTTTCCTGTCTGTCCAGTAACAATAGGACTGTTGTTCCTGCCTTTTTCCAACCACAAATGGGATCTATACCTTACGTCACTTCTTACTTGAACCAGTTTGTCAATAATCTGTATACTTAAAGATATTTCATAGATTCTACTCCAACAAGCATTAGGCTACATGAAGAGGTTTAAAAATTGTATTGATCCCAACTGCACCTTCTGTGAGACTCATACGGCAGTGTGTTAATGTTAAACAATTTAGGCACGTTTGTAAATTTCTAAATGATGGTATTTATTCAGGTTCCAGCTTCTTTTGGCAGAATGTCATTTTGGTGGTTTTAATGAAAAACAACACTGTCACCATTATTTCCTTATGCTCCTTTGGCTGCATTTCATATACACAAATGTAAATTTACGAACAAAAAATTTATAATCCTTGAGAAATTAATGTAGCTTTTTTGTTTTTAACATGCCGTTTCTCCTCCAACATTAAAGGCTCAGAAGATATTTAATGTCTGTACTTGTTTGAAGGTCTTTCTGTGATATATCATTACCTCCCACTTCTTGTTTTTGTTTTTTTACCCTCTAGCTTTATGTACGTTTATATCTCTTATGTGTTGGATGGATCTTTTTCAATGTTATTGTTATGATTCTTGATATGTTCTACTGATAATACTTTTTAATTAATAAAGATGAGGGGGGAAAGAGGTTGTGTATAGTTTTTAGAGGGCTGAACAAATAAAGCTTCAGACAACCAGACCTTATTCTGCATCAGTTAATTTTAGCTCATTTTGGATGCTTAATGTGTTTGTTTTGATTGCTTTAGGATCAATACTCCCTGAGAGTAGGGCCTATTGTTTTATAGGGAATGCTCAGTGAGACATATTGCATGATATTGGGCTTTACAAAGAAACTGACATATGCTTGAGTGGAACATTTTGACTGAGGTGGAATGGTAAAATAAACAACCATCAGATATAAGTAAATACTTACAAGATATAGGTTAACAAAGCAAAGGTGACAGTTTGAGACTGTTAATCATTTACAGTTAGACCAGCTTTGAAACTTGGTCTGAGGTGGCGCTGTTACTGGTCATGTCTAAGTTAGTGTAGTACACTTTAACACCACATGGAGGTGTTCAGGGATTTAAAAATAATTTTCAGCAGTACTGCACTGAGACTGAGCATTAATTATAATATTAAATCAAGATTCTAACTGACTTAAGATAATTCATTTTGTGTTTTATTACACTGACAATGAAATACATGTTTTAATAATCCATTTGATACAAAAATAAATCCAAATTAATTTAATGAGCGTATTTTTGTTTTTCACCTGAACACACTGTACATTACATAGCACTTATAGTCATAATATCTCAGATACCCGCAGATGTAACAGTGAAAACAAGGGGACATAAAGAGAACAAACTGTTTTAATGGTTGAATTACATAATATTTACACTTCCAGCTGAGCGTGCTAAAGTTTCTCAGCAGAAGGACAAACACCCCTGAAGAACAGCAGACACAAACACAAAGTGTATTTAGCCATATTGCAAGTGTGAATTATGATGCGCAGTATTGATAATTTTCTCTTTTTTTGGGACATTTCTGACATGCATGTGGTCCACTCAGACAGTATGAACTACATTGAGCTACTTTGGATTTCATTCAAGATTTTAAAGCCTTTTTCAAATTTTATGTAACACTTGTTTTTTTACACAACTCACACTTTGTAATAAATTGATTAAACAAGTCACAATGCACAAAATAATATATTTATTTAGAAAATGTGGCACAATGAATCAAGACAATATCCTTCCGACCCATCTACTGTAACAAGGCTTTCTAATAGTCATAGTAAGAAGAATTAGGCTTTGATTCAGAGATGGCTGGCTCAAGTTACATGCACAGGTTCTTCACATAAGACATAGTGCATGCAGTGAAAAGTATCCAGACTTTAGCAGACATGTTTTGCAGTGTGATACATGGTTATTCTTATAAGCCCATGAAAGATGATTCTCTTTAGCACACCAAATGTAAATAAAATCAGTTAATGAACCTTCTTTATTGCTATGTATGAATACACTTATTATGGATCCATGTAATACATAAGGCTCCAGTCGTTTTGTTTTATTTGTTCTTCGCTGCCACAGAAATAACTTTCTCAATGTGGTGTTGAATCTCCTTCAGCCTTGACCTGAAGTCTGAACCTGCTTAAACTCACACTGTTGAGTCTTTTATACGACAAAACTGACCAATAATAATTGTACTTTGTATGATTTTTTATGATGATGATAAAAATGAGGATTTAAAATATCACTTTTTAACTAGACCTGATCCACCCATTTAATTTATAAATCCAAACAACTTACACTAAGATGGAGAAGAACTAAGTTACAAGTTTAAATGAAAGCCCTCAGCTGCCTGACAAGTGTTCACGAAGATAAGTCTGAGCTGTGATTATGAACACAGACAGATTTCATGTTAAATAGCTGTTATTAAAACAACCCAACCCTGAATCTGAGCATCGGACTCAATGAGCAAGATTGCCCAGCCTCATAGACAGCGTGAGGCTCACTGACCCTTGGAAAGGTTTCATCAGAGAAAAACGTTGTTGTTTTTTTAACTCGGGAGAAATTTTTTGCTCTGCCCAGGAAATGGAAATTCAGGTGCCCGGTTGAAGTGTCCTGTTAAGAAGATCCCCACTGTACCGATGATGAAGAGGAGAAAGGCAGCCCAGAAACACACCTTGTCAATCATCTTCCCAATCAGAACCCAGCTTTCAATTTCCTTCATTTGGAAATAAGAGATTATACAAGATTATACAATTTAGATAACAGCTTAAAAAATGATAAACAGGAAAATGTGGAATAAATAGACACATCCAAAACATAATTAAAATTGTAAACAGTTGGACAGGCAGATAAAGTTTAAATGTTAAAGTAACACTCACAGATCCAAAGTTATTTTGTTGTCTTGTACTCTCAGCAATGAAATTGCAGGCATCCACACACTGCTTGATTTCAGGAGCAGCTTGGGCCAAACTCTTATACAGGTTGGCTGTGCTGCTGACATCTATATTATCCACTATGGGGAAAGAGACACTGTCAGTTAGACAACAGTATATGCCACAACATCACAGACATACCTGTAATACACAAGTACATGGCTAATATAATGATATGAATAAATGTGACACAATCTACATGGAAATCTGTAGCATGATGTTTATACAAAAAGTGAATGGTGCACTAATTAATAATTCACAATGGTCAAACCAAGCTGCAGTAATTTCCAGTGAAGCACACTTTGTTGGTAGTGATAACTCAGACTGGGGCTTAGAGGATGGTCAGAATTCAAATTCAAATTCAAATCAACTTTATAGGCATAAATGTATCAACAATATTGCCAAAGCTACATACAAATTACATAAGAACAATTCATTTCATACATTTAATTAAATAAGTAAATAAAACAGTAAAAGTTTTGTTTGTGTGTGTTAATAAAAAATGAAATAATATTACTAATAAAAAATATATAAAATATAAAAATTCCATAAAAATAAATGTTGAAAATAAAAGTAAATATATAAAGCAGTAATTTCAGACCTGAGTAATTTTTTAAACGTCTTACCAATCGATCGTGTGAGACCATGTCTCTCCCTTTGTTTGTCAAACATCATTTCACTGCGAGGTTGTTTCAGTACGTATTCCTCAGCTCTCTGCATGAGGCCAAAGGAGCTGCGCCGCCGCTCCCTCACTCCGTTTACCTCTGTTGTCACCTCACTGTCATCCACCAGTGGGGACATGCCTAGGAAGCGAGGTACCATTTCCAGGAACACCTGCAGGAGGCAGACAGATAACAGTAATGAGTTCACTTAAATTATAAAATAGACACTCAACTGCATAGGATGTACTTACATGTTTGATGGTATGAGACATGGTATGAGTGTTGGGGCTACGCAGGGAGAAGTTCAGCACCACAATTTGATTAGTAGCAATGAGAGTAGTGACACACATAACAAAGATCAGGTACCTGAGGAAGACATTAGAGAAGATCTGTGTTGGAGAGGAGATAAAAACTGTGTGGATTAAAGACCCACAAGAAATAGAACCCCAGCAGAGGTCAGCAGAGAACAAACACTGACTCACTTGCCGATGAGAGGGACAGAGAGCGACGTCTCAGGGATCTTCTGAGCAATAAGAAAGAGGAAAACAGTCTGAGCCAGCAGGACAGAGATGGACACAGTCAACTTTTGTCCCCCAGCTGTGAAGGGGACAACAGAGACTTAGGAGACAGAGGACCACACCAAATCAAATTAATATATATTATCAGTTTTGGGACCCAATACTTTCAGTAAATTCCCTGTGCTCAGGCACTATATGCGTGTCGTGGAAATTGTATCTTGCTGGTGAGGGATTAAGCCAATAATTGAGTAACAACCAACCGTTGTTTTTGAAGAATTGATTAATAAAAGAGAATAAACAGAGAAGTACTATAACACATATGCTGCTGGTCCAGAGACCTGCTGCCTAAGGCAGTTTCGGGTGTCTGGCCCAATGCATAATAAAGCTTTGATTCAGAGATGGCTGGCTCAAGTTACATGCACAGGTTCTTCACATAAGACATAGTGAATGCAGGGAAAAGTATCCAGACTTTAGCAGACATGTTTTGCAGTGTGATCCAAGGTTATACTTATAAGCCCAAGAAAGATGATGTTCTTTAGCACACAAACTGTAAATAAAATCAGTTAATGAACCTTCTTTATTGCTATGTATGAATACACTTATTATGGATCCATGTAATACATAAGGCTCCAGTCGTTTTTTGTTTTATTTTTTCTTCACTGCCACAGAAATAACTTTCTCAATGTGGTGTTGAATCTCCTTCAGCCTTGAAGTCTGAACCTGCTTAAACTCACACTGGGGATGCATAATCATTTACACAGTCTAGGTTTCTATGTTTTGGGGAACAGAGATCCTCTCTCGGCCTTGAATGAACATTCCAGGAGAGGAGAGGAACAACAAGAGGGGGAAAACACCAAAACAATCTCACAGCTCTGACCTAAACCCTAGCAAATGTGGACAGACTGACATAAGGAGTATAGAGGAAGAAAAGGTAAAGGATAAAAACACAATACATATATATCTACAAGACATTACAATAATAGTAATAATTATAGTAAAAGAACATACATAAATGTAAGAGGACACAATTTTTTGCCATAACAACGCGCAGCAAATAATTCAACGGCGTAAAAAAAAAAAAGCGTCTTATATAGGAGTTATAACTTTTAAGTAATAACTTTTGACTTCAGCTAGGGATACGTTGAAAACAAAGCCGCAAAGGGAATGACAGAAAATACAATTTTAGTTCTGATTTGATCTTAGAACCGCCTGAACTGAGCTCCGTTTTAATGCTTATATAAGAATGGCAATAAAAATGCTACTTTTAAATTCTGGGACTTTTTATCATGGCCAGTATCAGTGTAGCTATTTTTAAAATAGTAATCATTATTTGTGTTTTATGTCCAAGTTACAAACAAAGTATTTTATCATCCTTGTAATGTTGGCCTATTTGAAACAATAATACGGTAATCTATGTAATAACACCTGTAGGGAATTACACTATGGCTTAACCGACCTTGTGCAGGTAGGAAGTAGGCCAGTACCACCAATGAGGAGATGAGGGAGCAAGGCAGGATGACATTGATGACATAGAAGAGGGGCTTCCTTTGGATGATCAGATTGAACGTGATCTCCTGATACTCTAGGTCATCAGGGGAATACCGTGTGTTGATCATCTTCCTGGCTGGACGATGGACGATGGCCCACTCACCATTCTCTGAAGGGTGGAAACATAATAAGCTGTAGAGGTGTTTTGAATATTGGAGTAGAGTATGGATGTACAGTACCTGTGAAAGCCGCAGGGTCGATGTCCACCCACTCAATAGTTTCATCTGTTTCACTGACAGCTAAGATGAGATCAACTTCATTGGCACTGTATGTCTGGGATCTAGGGGTCATGGCAATGAGAAAGACGTACGCACCAGGATGTAACTTCAGTTCTTTGAGCACATGCGTAACCCTCTAATGGGTGTTGATTTACACCAACAATGCTCCACCTTAGCACCCAGAGACAGATCTTTCCACTGGGAGGTGAGTGCAAAAGTCTGGCCCAGAGTGCTGAAGCGGAGCAGGATGGGGTCAAACAATAGCAAAATCTATTACAGTTATTATTGTGATTGTACCACACCTGAATGCTAGTGTGCAGTTTTGATAATCAAATGGGAAGAAGGTGATCTCAATGGCACAAGTGCTGCGGTAGATAGCAGGAGGCAGCCAGTACATCGAACCACTGCTGCCGATCAACACATTGGCATAGTAAGCCACATCAAACTTGCCATCAATGCTGCAGAGATTGAGGATGAAAAACAAAAACAGTCAGACTATACCAAAAAAAAAAAGAAAGGGTAGGATGACACTGCAGGCAGGAAAAGAAATGCAGGATTTCCCTCCTCTTTGTTACTGTCTTACTTGTTCTCAAGGACAATGTCAGGAAGCCAAACAGTGTTGCATGGGACACGAATGAGTTCGATTCCATAATATTCAGATATGTTCCAAGCAAGGCGATAATCAGTCCATTGCTGTAGATGACATTTGAGAGAAAGGTTGCCAGTGACATTAAAAACTAGACACAACAGAGGGCTGAATAAGTGAGTCCTGTTGGCAAAATGAACTTTACTACCAAAAGTCTTGCAAGGATTTAAACAAACAAAACAAAAAAGTATGAAGAGAGGGGAAACTCACAATCTCAATCCACACATTGGTCGTCAGAGTCTCCTCCTTTTCATTCTGTGGTGTAATTGAAGAAGTAGTATGATTATTTGACCTCAAGGTGAGGTGTTCATCAGTTATTATTCCAGTGACATCTATTATTGTGCTCTAAAACTCTAGCCAGAATGATGATTAAAGCTATTGTCCTGTGCGAATGATTGTGAACTTGTGGTTGTACTCCTTTCTTAGACTTAAGGCTTGGTTGCAACAAGAAGGAAGAGCGAGCTCTCACCAGAGAGATAAGGTTGGTGAGGGTCAGCTTGATCTGGACCTGCACCTTGTCTTCAGGTTGAACCACTGGGCGAATATTCTTGTTGTAACTTTTGAACAAGTCGCCGATCAGATGCGACTCCTCATTACACTGCACTGCATGAAAAAACAGATGAGAAATGGTGAGTTTGCATGTGTGCATACGTGTTGGAATTCAATGGCAGGAGGGGGAGAAACATTTGCAATAATCTAAAATAAATTATGTGTATGCATCTGTTAAATACCAAGTTGGGTAAATATGACTTCCAAGAGGCCAAAAAAAAAAATTATCAAGTGATCAAAAATCTATTCAACTGTTAGAATAGCAATACGTTTTTACATTTTATAACAAATTATTTCCTAACACGCTCTTCCTTGATTTGCTTCTAGAACTTTCCTTGGTCTGGTTTGACCAGTAGTTCATAGTGGCTGACTTTTACTAATGTAAAGCAAACATTAGATGGGGATTGCTGTGCTGTTAATATTATTCATCCAGTTTGCTGACTTTATGAGTGTTTGTTTGCATCTGCCCTAATGTGTGTCATCTGTGTCTTGTTATTGCCACCCCACTTGGGTATTTAAGTCTCTGTCTCACAGTTCTCTCTTTGTTTTGAGCCTGCTGCACTGCTTCTTGTGTTCCCCAGTGTCTTGTGGCTTTTCACTCTGTGGATTACTGTTTGTGTCATTTTGGAGTTGTTGTTTGAACTTAAACTACTTGGTTTTTGGACTCTCCCTCTCTCCTTCACTTCCACTGTAAGTTCATCCTCCTCTTTAATAAAATACTTTTGTGAATTGCAACCACTGTGCCTGGTGTTCTGCGTCTGGGTCCAAACCCCATGTTTCCCATGTCAGTGCAAGAGCAGAACCTGACAGTGAGTCTTCTCTACTTGTACAGCTGATAAACTACGCTTTAGCATTTAAAATGATCCTGTCTTGTACCATAACTGTCTTCTAAGGAAAAAAATGCATCGTTGGTGGTGTTGCTACAGACTTGTATGACTCATCCTTTTTGATGAGTAATGTTAGCAAACTTTACATAGATACTGCTGTGCAACTGACATTTTTCAGCCAGTTTGGCAGATGTATGACTCATTTCTACTTATAGTGCATTTCCTTTAGCTCTTACTATTATTTTGTTATCACCTGTGGCCACTTTAAAGATCCCTAATTTTACATATTGAAACATCCCTTCTTGTGTAACAGTTTAGTCATGTTCACACACTTTTTGATAAAAACACCATCCTCGGGACAGAGAGATGAGCCAATGTATAAAGAGACCAGGAGTCTAGAGACCAGGAACCACGCCTAAAACTGCACTTGCTGACAATGGGACGGTCATACTGTACTCACTGGCTACACTTAAATTCAATATAAACTTGAAGAGAGACTAAGAGAGAGAAAGGCTGAGGTTATTTCCGACCCTGTTACCTCTTCCCTCCCAGCAGTCACTATCAATAGCTCAGATTACACAGCAGCTGGGAAACTCTAAACTAGGACTTGAAGTCACACTCGGGTCATTGACAATAATCATCAATATCACCATTAGGCAAAAATGATGACAGTAACACATACTACCAAGCAGTAAAGATGTCATCCTGCATGAGTAATTCTTTCCCTGTCTGTCTGGTCTAATCAGGCAAAATATGTCACATAGTTTTGTGGTGTAATCGTAATTCTCCCATGGGACAATCTGTGTAGTAGGTAGTACAATGACAATGGTGAGATGTCTCACTTCCAAGGGTTTGCCAATTATTGCCAAGTATTCTTAAATATTACACCTGACTGATAGATGAGGAAACTGATACAACAATTCCTGAAATTTGAAATGTAAAATGCAGCAGGAAGGTTTGTCGTTCCCTTGTGTTTCATAGACATCCATCAACACTATAGCATTGCTTAAGGCCTTTAGGCCAATATCTCTTTGAGTTTGTAAACAGATCCATAGTACTTGCTTCAATTTCATCACAAAGGAAAGCAAAAACAGTTCTGGGAGGACTAGAGGAATTTCTCAAAAACTATAAAAAACATTTTGAAATGGAGACAGGAAGTTATCAGCATGGCCTATTAAAATAAACTATTATATCAAAGGCTCAGACATTTCTGTTTGTCTGTGGTAGGTAAAGACATATATAATGACCTTATGAAAGCCTGCTTAGTGGATCTGCTTTGGTGTTACCACGATTCTATAATAGTACAACAGAATAGCGCCCTGATTTTTGCATTGAAAAGCAAAAAAAAAAAAAAGATGGTTGTTTAATTATTGACGGCTGCAAAGACACATTTTCAAACAAATTACTAAGTACAGTAAATACCAAGTAGTGTCACTATAGTGAGAGAGACAGAAATCACTGACTTTGTAAAGTGTGCCAAGTGAGTTGCACAGTATGTTATGTACTTAAAAAACTAAAATACAGTTTAGTCAGCCAGCTCACGTGGATTAGTTATATTGTCATGTGGATACAATGTACGGCTAATGTTTGGCTATGCTTTGACCTGGTCACTTATGACAGTGATAAGTGATGATTGGAACTGAGGCCACTGAAGGGATGTGAGCATGATTAAAATAGTCAAATGTGTTAGATATTTTACAACCTTGATGAAATCTGATATACTACATACTGATGTGCTAGCTGTAAGTGTAATATTTGTTTTTCTTTGGCCGAACTGACCGTGTTAAGTTGACTAGAATGGAGGCAGCACAACATGTCAGAACATCATCGGCACACAGGTAAACATTACAACATCAGTGTTTGACTATGAGGTTAAAGCAAGCCAAGCTCACCCTAGCTGACCGTGTCCCATTGTTCAATGCAGTGGTTGTTTTTAACATTAAAAGCAAAGGGTTTGAATTTGAATATCAAGAGGAACAAGTGCCTCTTCTGTCAACTAGTAAGCATCCTTTCTAGGAGGGTTCCGCCCAGCATCTCAGACCTGTTATCAGTTGCATAATTGCGATCCACTACATCATATTCTGATGATCACAACTGGAGGACCAATGCTGAAGCAGAGTTCATTCCTAATTTTAGATTTAATATCACACGTTGATTGTGTTTGACTTCATATTATGATAGTACATCTGTTGCTCTAAGTGTATAGAGATCGAATGGCTGACACTAGTCTCAACTCAAGTTCATCTCAGGTTTTCCATCTGACATTGATCATGTCAATTTGATAAGTAAATTTCTACAACAAACTGTTTACCCTCAAGAGCCCTCACCAATCCAACAGTACTCTCCCTAAACTCCATGTGATATGCGAGAACTGTGGTAATCACCAATAATTTCAAGAGCCTGCATTTCAGGGTGGACCCTATCCATGCGGGCACTTTGTCACTGAAGACTCTTTTATCTACTCCACTGACCTGTGCCAAGGAGATGGACTGAAGAAGCATTTGCCCACAACTGTTGAGAACAACCTGTTATATCTTTTCCTCCTGAGGGCCAAATTCATTTCCAGAATCATTTAAGCACCCACAAATTACATTTAGTTAAACTTCCATCCTATCCAGGCTTTCTGCTTCCACTGCAGCTATAGCCTTTGTGGTCTGCTGTTGTTAAAGCTCAGGTGAACTTCTGCATTACTTGATGCTAAACTTGCTTTTTTACAAGACAGATTCCTGTCAACATCAGTATCAATGGTTATGCAGAAAAGTGTCCTATGAGCAGAGACCAAGCTCCCAAATGCTTTGTTTCCGTGCAAATGTTAAAAAGCCATACAAGTCTAGTCCAGTACACAGAAACTGCTCAGACAATAATTATGTTTATATCCACTTTGCAGCACTTTCCACATATACCAAATATTGTAGATATGCTGTATGTATTCTTGCAGATAAGCAATCTACAGAACTAAAATTATTTTTTTCTGCTTCCAAAATTTATCAAAAATCTGTGTCTTCTACACACATTGTAGAATTTACAAAATTCTGTGTGTGCACATTTTCAGCAGGTCTAAAATATGGAAAGTTTTCTCTTGACTTCCAGTCAATGTAGTATGAGTTTTAAAACTGGTTTTCTCTGAATATAAATTGTCCGCACATGAGAGGCAGAAGATTGTTTTGAAGGCTGCTTGCCAGTCAATGAGGATTTGCCAAAAGTTTGCCTCTGCGCCACTTACCCTGAACCAGTAATGTCCCGAGAGTAGTTGCAACCCCAAATAATATCCAAATCCTGTGCGCTGCCATCATGTTTTAAGACCTCTCCACTGCACAGCACTGTACTATTATTTAAAAATTAAGTTTGAGAGAGAGAGAGAGAGAGCAAAGACAGAGGAAGAGCCCTAAATCCCCCCACCAAAGGCCCTGACTGTCGCCCACCCCGGCTGTCGCTATCCATGGCTCACATTACACAGCAGCTGGGAAGCACTAAACCAGGACTTCAAGTCACACTGCGGTCACTCACAATAATCATCATCATGATCATTAGACAACAACTTTCTGTGGTGGTGCCGGTTATATACATTAAGGTAAAATGTAGGCAATGTTGAGACCTTATGCTGTTTATCTCCCACACGACATATCTTCAATATTCCCGTAATCGTCCAATAAATTTTTATAGATAAAAATGGTTTTATTTGATATTTGTGTATAATAAATTGTAGGATTACTATGATTGTTTATTTTGATGAGAAAATCACTAAAGGCATATTTTCAAAGTGATGTATTTTTGTGTAACTTACTTTGGAATAAGTGGTTCTGTCTGTGTGGGTTCATTCCAGCATTTCTGTGTGTGTGTGTGTGTGTGTGTGTGTGTGTGTGTGTGTGTGTGTGTGTGTGTGTGTGTCAAACAGCAAAAACAAAAATCCAAAAAACAGAAATACATGCAGCAAGATGAACAGGTTAAGTGCAGGCCTAATTCCCCCCACCCCCGCTATGTGTCTAGGGTATTTATACATACAGTAGTGAGAGAGTGTCTGCAGACCACAGTGAGGTGGGGTTGGAGGGCTTGAGGCAGACAATGCTCTTAAAACTCATAAAACCATGGGGACAGTGTCAGTGCATCTGCATTGATACTTCGATACTTTCTGAGGTTGATCGCGCTACAAAGGCAACTCTTGAAAAGTACATACCACACTGTCAGGACATTTCAGTCACTTTACATCCAGAGACTAAATTAACTATTATAATTAGTACTGTGAGTAATATAAGTAATGTCACTCTGCAGTGACAAGGGCAACACTGTGATTTTTGGAATGTGCAATGTGAGTTGCATAGTTTGTGATGTACTAAATATAAATTTAGGGAAACAGAGATGAGCTTCTTTAAGGTAACTGGAGCCTCTAAAAGGTAGATTATATGTCTCACACTCAGTTAGAGCTCAGAGACAGACGAGGGGCTGGAGCTGTGTAGCCGCAATGATAGTCTGCTCACAGAGCAGAGCTGCAGCAAAAGATCAAACATTTTGACATTTAAAGATAAAAGTAACCTTCCAAAAGTTGATGTTGATGTTGTTGATGCACAACCAGTCTGGGCAAAGTCCAGTGCTTTTGATTTTGTAGCTTCTTCTATACAGCTAGCCAAGATATTTTCTCTCAAACCAATTATATTCTGCAGTCCTTTAAAAC